ACACCATCAGCTGACAGTCACTGTACATATGTGTTGAGATATGTTACACAAGCATCTGTGGCAGAATCACAGGTATGTGATATGGCTATCAAACTATGGCATTTCACACATGTCGAATACGTAACACTTTGTAAAGATGTAGACACCTTGAAATCGTTCGTTTCATGCTGGTTGGTTTGTTGTTTAACGCAGCACTCAGCAATATTCCAGCTATATGGCAGCGGTCTGTAAACATTCGACTCTGGACCAGACAATCTGGTAATCAACAGCATGAGCATCGATCTACCCAACTGGGATATGATGACATGTGGCAACCAAGTCAGCGAGCCTGATCCCGTTAGTCGCCTCTTACAACAAGTATGGGTTCTAACATGGATCTTCACAGGTCATTTTCATGTTGGAGAGGAGCATGACTGACTCACTGAGTTTGGTTTTACGCCGCCGCTTTTAGCAATATTCCAGCAACATCACGGCGGGGGACACCAGAAATGGGCTTCACACATTGTACCCATGTGGGGATTCGAACCCGGGTCTTCGGCGTGACGAGCCAACGCTTTAACCATTAGGCTACCCCACCGCCCACCATTTTTTTAGTAAATGGTGAGAAAAGGACAGAACCTCTATAGAAGGACATGAGGCAATAAAACATTTAACAATCAGCCACTGACATTCTATAGATACAACACAACTATATACACTCCCATAAGAACTGACCACAGAGTGAGTGAGTGAGTACAGCAGAGGTTAATACTGATATTATTGAGATAAAGTCAACAATATATATTAATACACACACCCCATACATGACAGGGAATGACTTTACAACCATAAATATTTGCACATGTACACGATTGTCGGTGAAATCTATATAGTGAGCACCTATTGCATACAAACACCTGCACCATAACCTTCTCCATGAATAAAATACAGCTGTGTCAGCATTTTAATTACAGGAAAGATGCTTAGTCAGCAATATCTGTTCCATATATAGTGAGAGGCAAACTAACAAAGGGTAGGGACGAGATAGTGAATGAGCTTGTCCACTGGCCTGAGATTAATCATTTGTGATGTGGGCAAGTAAAATAAAATGATGGAAGTCCTAAATTCTGAACCAGTACTCAAGGCTTTCATTTCGCAACAAACTGAAACTGAATTAAACTGATAAAAATGTGTAAACATAGCAAACATTTCGGTCTCATTCAATCAGCAAACACTCTGAACTGAGGACTAGTGAAATATGGTATTTGTTCCCTGAACTTGTCGTAAATAACAGAACTGGTATCGCCGATGAGTAAGTCTTGCTAAATGCCAGTTCAAACAACACTTCATATCACAGTTTCATGTGGTAGGAGAGATTGAGGTTGAAAACATAAAATGATTGTTTTTTGTCCTGACAGATCTAGAGGCAACACAGTCTGAGAATCAACGTGCGACTCTTACATTCTCAGCCATCATAGTGGAAACCCAATCTTTATGTTCATAATCATAAACAGCATGGGGATCTATTCTGTCCTGGCATCCTGACCCAATGCATTAAAATAAGGTCACATGGAGGCATGTTGATTTAAAAAGTTCAAGGGTATTCAACAATCTGTTATTCCAAGATTTGCGTTTTTCCAAATTTCCAGACTCAGACAAAATAAAATATGGTCCTCATCATGCTTCTGGTGGGGACAAAAGAAACAAAAGGAGACAAAATGAGAAAAATATATTAAATGTAACATTCTTGTCTTTGAAATGTGGGATTTTGTTCAAGGACTTCATGGAACTTCCACTCATCTCTGAAGTTTGTCATAATGCAAGTTGGTAAATGCTATGTTGAAACAGATTTCAGCAGCAGTTGAGTGAGTGAGTGAGTTCAGTTTTATGCAACTTTTAGCAATATTCCAGCAATATCACGGCAGGGGACCCCAGAAATGGGCTTCACACATTGTACCCATGTAGGGAAGCAAACTCAGGTCTTGATGTCATCGTATTGCAATTGAGTAGAGTAATGCCTGTGATGACAATCACTGGATTGTCTGGTCAAGAGTTGATTATTTACAGAATGCCGTGATAGAGATAGAATATTGCTGAGTGAGGCATCACACAATATACAAACAAACTCATGACATACTGACATCACATACTCATACACACAGAGAGACCACTATATTCATAATTAAGGAGTTAGCAAGTGGAGCTTAATATCTTATTTAGCTATATTACGGAAAAATGTAGGGGCGTCAGAAACAGGCCTGACATATTACACCCATGGGGAACAGAAACACTTGGCTATAACTTATCTAAACCACTTGTCCGTATATAAACCATAATACCAAAACAATGATTCCTTTTGAAAAACATTGATTTTTTTTCCAAACCAATTGCCCCTATCTAAACCGTAATACCATCATGTTAAAGAATTCTTATCAAATATACACAGTGAACCCTTTCAAGACGGATAGAACAGAATTGATCTTTATTTCACATATCCCTCACGAACTTGGGTTCTGAGACACTGGGGATTCCGCATTGCAATTAATCTGAAGTTGAACTAAAGCTTAACACTCGTACTAAAGTCCATGATCACATCGTAACAGAGCCCTGCAACTTAATTTTTAACTGATATAGTTAATATTGCAATAGTAGAAATATATATAGGGGATATTTTGTATTGCAGACTGAAGCAATTGATCACACACATTACATGCAACACTGATATCTTTTCTCGACAATACTTGCATGTTGAAGACTGGTACAAACCTACATCAAGATGTACAAAGATGAAAAACAGAGCCTGTTGTCACCTCAGCTCATTCACTTACAGCCACTTAACATTTCAAATTAATAAAATGATACACAAACACATAGTGATACTGACTTCCTAACAACATGTTACATCAGGTAAAACAGTGTATGGTCGAATGATTGATGTTGCATCACTCATGGCAGTTCATGAACGTGGAAAAAATCTCAAATATTTTCATTCTTTCAGCCCAATTTGCAATAAACCTAAATAAAAACAAACATAAACATTTTTAGATAGCAAGCTAAAATTGTACACCCCATCAGCAATACTTCAGCAATATAGCAATGATACAATAAATACTTACAGAATAAATAAGAGTTGTCAACAATGTTATTTCATTCCTTTTTTGTCATTCTCCCTTCTGATAACACTTCAAGAGGTTATTTTTCAAATACAATTTTTTTGGCAATTTTGGTTTCTTGAAACATGTGTTTTGTAAGAGTGAGTGTGTGAGGGAGTTAGTTTAGTTTTATGCCACCTTTAGCAGTATTCCAGCAATATCACGGTGGGGGACACCAGAAATGAAATGGGCTTCACACATTGTACCCATGTGGGGAATCGAACCCGGGTCTTTGGCGTGATGAACGAACCCTTCAACCACTAGCCTATCCCACCGTCCCAATGCAAATAGGATATATAACCTGTCATGCACTGCCTCTTCTAGTGACCCAAGGGAAATCAAAGTCTCCCTATTAAAGGTAGGACCATGTCTCTACAATGTCCATCTTCTATCATCCAGGGTATTTTATCTACATTCCACCATTCATCACCCTCACATTTGAATGTTATATCTCTGGTAACTTCCACTGTAGTTCTCTTGCTCATGAGCTGATTGACTGACTGACTATTAGTGTTGGGAATTGGTTGAAAACTCACAATTGATGATTGCTTCATTTCCAACGAACAATCATCGAAAAAAATTGGTTAGCGTCATTTTTAAGATTTTCCTATCCAGGTTGTTACTGCAGAAAAGTATAACATGTTGCAAATTGCTACATTAAAGTGATAACTAATATATCATGAACATAAACTTCCTTGAGTCTTAGAGAAATATTCAGTCATGACTTTTCAGTTAGTGGAGTGAGTTTTCTAAGAAATAAACATGTTTTCAGGCCCTGACAACTTCTAAGATATGTTCCATTGTCAAGTTTTTCAAAGAATAAAACAGTAGTTCCAAAATCGTTTATGTTCGATTATGAGAAAATGTGATCGATTGCTTGGTCGTTTGGTCACTGCGACCAATCTTCGATTATTTCAATTAATCGGAACACCACTACTGACTATGGTTTTACGCCGCTTTTAGCAATATTCCAGCAAAACCACGACAGGGTACACCAGAAATGGGCTTCACAGATGGGACCAATGTGGGCAATCAACCCGGGTCTTCGGCGTTACAAGCGAACGCTTTAACCACTAGGCTACCCCATCGCCCCTGATGAGCTGAAGTTCAACAACCAATCCACATGATTCATCATACGCCGCTTTGTTTCAATTTTCCTACACAAAATCCCGGCCTGGTGAACTAGAAGACATCGCAAAGTTAAGTCAGGATGTTTGCGTAGTACAGCGTTTGTTTTTTCACAGGATGTTTCGGTTGTATTTAAGCCTGCATTTGAAACCTGTGTAATTTAGTTGCTTGTTTCATTCGTCAAAGTACAGCACAATTTCATTGGGAGTTTATTTCTATTGCGTTGTTTGATCTAAATGGTACGGTAGTGAATGGGTAAAGAGTCACGTTCCACGAAGCGAGCATAGAGCCAAGATGATAACAACTCCCATACTTGAACACACACTGGTCGTAGCGTTGTAATTGTTTGTTGAACGAGACTCAGTTTATTCTCATTAGAGAATGCAGATTTGTACACATGATAATCATGTACAGTCCGTTTGAGTCAGAAACCGACCGATGAATTGCAAATTTTATCATTGTACAAAAGTGCCACATAAATATAAATAGTACACATGTAGAGAAAGGGACAGCCAGGTGTGCGAGAAAGGATGGAGACGGCACAGCACACGCTAATGAATCAATAACTTGGTGGGCACTTGTGCACGTGCTTCTCTAACACCTGGCTGTCCCTTTCTCTGCACTCCTCCCTCGTAACAAATAGTGAACTGTGTCAAAATTTTAATGATAGTTCCTTAAAGAACTTTTTTTGGTGGTGTCCGGAAAATTTTCAAAAATAAGAAAGCTGTTGGGTATTAGTAAATGATAAACATGTGTACTATTTCTATTTATGTGGCAATTTTGTACAATGATAAAATTTGCATTTCATCGGTCCGTTTCTGACTCAAACGGACTGTAATTATTCATTGATTCAGTGAAAGAGTTGGACCTCACTTAATTCTAACACAGTCCGTCAATGTACATTTCAGGTTGACAGTATGTGAAACAAGTGAACAGATTTACAAATAGTTGGTTGGACAACCTTTCCTTACATGATGTTAAAACACACAGTTTAATCTCATTGGAAACAATTACTTTCACAAAACTAACATCAGAACCTGGGAAGCAAGAAAATATTTTCCACAGTCTGACTGAAGTAAAGGTAGATGACTTGGTTGACAGGTTCTTTCAATATGACATCTAAAAATTGTGTTTGGGCCATGCTTCGTCGTGCTCTCATGCCTTTATTCGCCTATTTTGTTCTATCTTCAGTCGTACTCGTGGCTACTTTCCCTCTGTTTGATGAGAGGCTCTGTACTCTCCGTCTTCTCCTCGTATCTCTGGTTCACCTTCACCACACTGTCCGTCAATCCCGTCTGGGTCAGCCTACAACAAAGAGTGTTTTTTAATACTACAAGCAACAATCAATGCCATTGTCTTACAAGGACATACTGCGAACCTGGACGCCTGATACACCGGTCACCTCCTTCAACCAGCACCGCTTACAAGGACCTACTGAAAACCTGGTCATACACCGGTCACCTCCTTCAACCAGCACCGGCTTACAAGGACATACTGCAAACCTGGACGCCCGATACACTGGTCACCTCCTTCAACCAACACCGGTTGTACAGGACCTAGTATAGTCTGTTTGTTTGTTGTTAATTGCTACAATAATAATAATAATAATAATAATGAGGGTACTTTTGTCGCGCAATACTCCATACCACAAAGGGGCATGCTAAAAGCGCGCAAACAGCACAACATTATTACCCCGGATAACCCAAGCTGCCTGTTAGGAGCTATAAGGTTATAGTCATATGACTTATCCCACCGGGTACCCATTTTCTGCAGGGTGAACAGAGGCAATTTTAAACAAACTCACTTGCCTAAGGTGAGAACACATGCATCACATATGTTTTGTTGTGGGGCAGGACTGAAGTCTTAGAAACTTTCAGAAGTCAAGCTGCCAAACACGGTCACCCATCCAATGACTCTCCACGCTCAACATTGCTTAACTTCAACTGATTTGTGACCTGAGCTCTACACACAGGACCACGTGCCGCCACTGCTGCACTCAGCAATATTCAAGCTAAATGACGAATGAATTTTCAGTTCCATCCTCGATTGTCAAGGGTATAACATTTCTATCCAAGGATAAATACCCTTGGACCCATATGCTTTGTTTGATATAATTGTTATGAGCAAATGTTAATGTGATTAATGAGTGAAAAATGTCCGATAATCAGCTCCATTATTTGACTTGTAACCAATTAACATTTGGTGTTGGAGGCTCTAGATTATTGATTCTAAATTTTTAAGCGGGTTCGAACAGGTTCACACTTTGAACAAGGGTTTTCCGCCAAGCTTGCTGAATCTGATGCAGGTCAGGTGCCATTGATGACATCGAGCTCAGCATTGAGAACGGTCCAAAGCATACTTGAGATCAGGTATTTCATGCTCAACTTGAGCCGAGTTCCAAGTTGAGCATGAAACCAGATTTGAGCATGAATATCATACTCAGGACAGTTGTGTAACCTCCGGTCCAAATCTTAGTGTTTGAAGAAGGCGTTGTGCTTGCTTTGTTATTAACAGCTGACATCAACAATGCATAACCATGGCAACTTACACCTCCTCCATCTCAATCTCATCGTCACTGTCTTGAGGGACCTGGAGGTAGGGGTTGTCGGAGGCGGGTCGGAACTTGTACCCTGTTACCACGAAGAAGATCAACGTGGCCAGTTCCTTGAACAGTTCAGTCAACCATTCCAGCTTGAAAGGCAGAGTGATCTGCAAAAAGGTATAACAAGTTTACAATTTATTCTTGTAGTAGTGGAGTGAGTTTGGTTTTACGCCACTTTTAGCAATATTACAGAAATGGGCTTCACACATTGTACCCATGTGCGGAATCGAACCCCCGGGTCTTCGGCATGACAATGAACCCTATAACCACTAGGCTACCCCACCGCCCCTATTCTTGTAGTAACCGATGATAAATATACTGAGGGAAACAAAAAGAGGAACACATGAAAGTGCACGCTTCTTCACAAGATTTGCACTACACCCATGAAGATCCAGGTTAGAATAAGTCTTCAACAACCCATGCTTGTTGTAAAAGACGACTAACGGATTGGGTGGTCAGGTTCGCTGGTTGACATTTGTCACTGTTTCAATGCTCATGATGTTGATCACTGGATTAGTTACAGACCGCATAGCTAGAATATTGCTGAGCGTGGCATTAAACAACAAACAATCAAAAATAAACTTGAGAATAAAGGAACACTGCGATGAAGTGCTGTTCCCTTACTTTTCCCCCCTCAGTATACGTAGGAGTCGGTATGACACAAAGAGGGGATGGGGGACAGTGACAGGCAAACTTACCTTTAGCAAATACACTATTATTCTCGTAAAATAGATGAAACACACAATCTGAAAAAGAAACAAAAATTGTCAATCAGTTATAGTGAGTGAGTGAGTGAGTTAAAATTTAAAGTCACATTGGCAATATTTCAGCCATATTGACTAGTCAATCAGTTATAGGAAATAAACATCATTGCAATGAGGACAGACTTTGCGGGCTAGATGATAGCAAAATTGTCTTCTGTATCCAGTAGTGAGCAAATTGGTATTGCCTAAAGGTCACTTGAAGCAGCATTTCAGCTTTACCATTCATCACAGGGTGTCAGCTTGTTGAAGGAGGAAATCCCAAAACAAGGGTAAATGTTTACAAGTTTGGTAGCACCAACAGAGTATGTGCATTGTGCTGTCAAAATATGAAACACATTGAGGGGAAATCTTGGACTCATGTTTCAAAACCTTCTGGATCCTGTACATGTAAGGGACACAACTCAGTGCATCTGTGTAACTTGGGGTATGGATGTCTTTAGCAATAGTTATCTAATAAGACCAACTCCAGGGAAACTGTCTGAATTTGTACATTTATATAGAGTGAGTGAGTGAGTGAGTGAGTTTGGTTTTATGCTGATTTTAGCAATATTCCAGCAATATCACGGCGGGGGGACACCAGAAATGGGCTTCACACATTGTACACATGTGGGGAATCAAACCCAGGTCTTCAGCGTGATGAGCGAATGCTTTAACCACTAGGCTACCCCACTGACCCATTTATAGAGATATTCCAAACCACAAATCACCCGGATTGCGGGGTTTCCTAAATCAACAGCAACATGGCTAACATTCACTTCAAAGGGAATCATGCAAAGAATAGTTGATATGCATCGTACCTAATGATTGAATTATTTATGCAACATCAGCAATATTACAGCAACGTGTAGCAAGACATTGTGTACATCTCATATGGATTTTCTTAAACTTCTAGATTACCCATTGTCCTTCAAGGATATAGAATTAAATGGCTAAGCATGAAAAATCTCCACTTGGCTAATGTAACACTCCAAGTAAGGCTTTGTCACTTTGTGTAGTTGGGCTCAAGCTGCCATTAAAGAGAGACTCTGGTTTTAGGCCACAGTGACCAGTATTTCAGTACTTACCAGTATATAAAACTGTCTAAATAGTTTAAGTTTGTTGAGATTCATAGCTGCCTTGCCATCTGTGCGTGAAGCTTCCTGGAGATGCCGGATAGACCTGGAAAAGACAGTGAAGACAGTGAAGCAGACAACAAGCTATGAAGAGTTTTAGTGTTGGTTATCATTACTGGTATTTATAGACCGCCTCCGTGGTGTAGTGGTTAGAGCGTCCGCCCGGAGAGCGGAAGGTCGCGGGTTCGATCCCCTACCGCGTCATACCAAAAGATGTTGAAATATGGTACTTGTTGGTCTTTGCCTGGCGCTCGGCATTAATGGGTACAAGGACTGGTCGGCTCGGAGTCAGTATACTGTGTCTGAGTGGGGTATTCATTCAATCATAACTTGGAACGAGCTTGTAGTGCTCATGAAATGTAACTGTTTAAACCAACCTTGTGAAAAATATTGTTAATGCAAAAAGTGTTCCAGAATTGTTTGTGTTCGATTATGAGAAAACATGATCGATTGCTTGGTCGTTTAGCCACTGCGACCAATCTTCGATTATTTCAATTAATCGGACCACCACTAGTTGCTGGCACACCCAAGGTAATCAACTCTGTGCTTCAAATTGCTTGATTACTGGGCCACCATTAATAATAAGGACAACCTAGAGGATTCACAGATTATCTGACCCAAATGGATTTGTTGCTTTGGTTTGGTTGTAGTTTAACATCGCACTCAGCAATATTCCAGCTATATGGCGGCGGTCTGTAAATAATCGAGTCTGGACCAGACAATCCAGTGATCAACAGCATGAGCATCGATGTAGGCAATGAGATACGATGACATGTCAACCAAGTCAGCGAGCCAGATCACTCGATCCCATTAGTCGCCTGTTACAACAAGCATGGGTTACTGAAGACCAGTTCTAACCCGGATTTTCACAGGTCGACCAAAATGGAGGAAGGGCACAAACTCAGAAGTATTGGCGATGCTTATGTGACAAATATTTTGGAACTCTATGCAGCTACTTTACATACTAATCAATGCCATTTTAAGAGAGAATATGAAGGAAAAAATATGACCAGTCCTGCCAAGAGAAAGCTTAACTCAGATCAGCCTCTTTTCAAATGAAACCAATGAATGATGTTATAAATTAGTAGAACTGATGTTAGCTTTAATGAACCTACCAGACAACGGGGAAGAGGATAGCTCCACAACAGAGAAGGTCAAAGAGAATGAAGATTTCCTTCCAAGTGGTGTACAGCTCCTGGCCCTCTTCACTCTCCTCGACGATTACCCACGCTATCTGGTCCAGCACCTGGCAACACGACGACACACAGTTAATACAGTGCCTGATGTGAGGGCAGTGAGTGAGTGAGTGAGCGAGTGAGTGATTACCATTGTGAATCATGGGTTTATGTGAACCAGAAACACAGTGACATACAGTTAATACAGTGCGTGATGTGAGTGGAGTGAGTGAGTGAGTACCATTGTGAATCATGGGTTTATGTGAACCAGAAACACAGTGACAAACAGTTAATACAGTGCGTGATGTGAGGGCAGTGAGTGAGTGAGTGATTACCATTGTGAATCATGGGTTTATGTGAACCAGAAACACAGTGACATACAGTTAATACAGTGCGTGATGTGAGTGGAGTGAGTAGGAGTGAGTGAGTGAGTGAGTGAGTGAGTGAGTGAGTGAGTGAGTGAGTGAGTACCATTGTGAATCGCTGGTTTATGTGAACCAGAAACACAGTGACATACAGTTAATACAGTGCATGATGTGAGTGGAGTGAGTGAGTGAGTACCATTGTGACTCGTGGGTTTATGTGAACCAGAAACACAGTGACATACAGTTAATACAGTGCGTGATGTGAGTGGAGTGAGTGAGTGGAGTGAGTGAGTGAGTGGAGTGAGTGAGTGGAGTGAGTGAGTGAGTTGAATACAGTGCGTGATGTGAGTGGAGTGAGTGAGTGGAGTGAGTGAGTGAGTGAGCGGAGTGAGTGGAGTGAGTGAGTGATTACCACTGTGAATCATGGGTTTATGTGAACCAGAAAGTAGAACCTCTAACCTGATGTGGCTCCTAGACTGTAAACTGTTCAGTTCGTCATATAAGGTTAATACAGAATAGGATCACTTTTCATTGAATGGTAGGTTTAAGTGAGCTAGTTTTACCTGCAGTGGTGGCAACTAATCAGAAAACTGTTCAATGAACCATGGAGTGAGTGAGTGAGTTTAGTTTTACGCCGCACTAAGCAATATTCCAGCTATGTGGCGGCGGTCTGTAAATAATCAAGTCTGGACCAGACAATCAAGTGATCAACAGCATGAGCATAGATCTACGCAATTGGGAACCAATGATGTGTCAACCAAGCCAGCGAGCCTGACCACCCGATCCCGTTAGTCGCCTCTTATGACAAGCATGGGTTGCTGAAGGCTCATTCTAACCCAGACCTTCACAGGTCGAACCATGGATCTATGTGAACAAGAGTGTGGAACCCCTCACCTGCAGTGGAAGGACAATAAGGAAGAGTTTCTTCTCCTTGTGACTCAACATGTGTTTGATGAAAGCCCAGCCTGCACCAATCAGGAGGATTGTTACAAACATCAATGCTCCCCGGAATCTGTGTATGACAAGAAATATCATCATGAGGAGTTAGGAATGACAAATGTTTATGGATGATCAACTTCTTTATTGTACAATGTTTAGATACTTATATTGTTTTCAAGCTTGAAAACGGTACAAGTATCTTTCCAGAAACGTCGCCATTGAACAATAAAGAAGTAGATCATCCATAAAGACTTATCATTCCTATTATAGTCCGTTTGTCTCAAAAGCGGACCGATGAATTGCAATCTAACTCGAAAACTAATAAACATATAATACTCAATGAAACGCTGATCATAATCAAAACATCAGACCAACTCTGTGATTTGTTTGCAGAATTTATGTCCTAAAATTAAGAAAAGTTGTTTAACAAACTATCATTAAAATATTGACACAGTTCACTTTTTTTTACGAGGGAGGAGTGCAGGGAAAGGGACAGCCAGGTGTTAGAGAAGCATGTGCACAAGTGCCGACAAAGTTATTGATTCATGTGCTGTGCCGTCTCCATCCTTTCTCTCACACCTGGCTGTCCCTCTCTCTGCACTCTTGAGAGAATAGTGAGTGAGTGAGTATGGTTTTGGGCAATATTCCAGCAATATCATGGCAGGAGACACCAGAAATAAGCTTCACACATTGTACCCATGTGGGGCACGACGCCCGCTTTCCTTTGCCCATGTGGAACCATCACGACATGATGAGGAAAAATAGAGAAGGCAGAGTAGACCAAGCTGTAGCAACTCGACCTAGGAGGCGCCCCTCAACCTAGGTGTGTATAGGGAGGTAGACAATCGACTGCATAGACTCAAAGTACAACTCGCTGACGCAACGAAAGATCACATGCAGTTTCTTGATGCAGTCGGCAAACTGCTAAAAATATGAAAAGTGTCAAGATCTCCAACTATGGACCCGAATACAATCTTTAGTAATCTCTTTCAATATTTCTGTATCTATCGTACAATGCCTTCTGTGTTAATCAACTCATTAATGAACAGTGCCTCCTGTGGGTACTCTACAACAACTGGGCTGATCCCACTTTCATTGTAGGGATGTGGAAACACCACCAATGTGCACTCAACCATTAATTAATGTGTCTCACAACTGGGAGTTCTCACAAATGGGAGGACACCCTCCTAGAGAGAATAAAGACCAGATGCTCTATTCGCAAGACCACTGGCGTGGAAAAAGGAGAGTGGAAGAATAAAATTGTCCCATACTCACTCTGAGATGACTACTCCTTGTCCTACTGCCTGATGCTTGTCATTAAGGGGACAAAACAAGTATGATCTCGAAATATAAACAGTTTGGGAGCTAAAGTAAAGGCCTTCCCTTCTCCAGCAACAGAGACCCTACACAAGACTGAGAGGCTGTATACTCACAAATACACAATATAGTACAGGATGGCCCAGGTTTCTTCATGTATTCCAGTCAACTGAATGAAACAGCTGTTCACCTGAATAAAAAACAAAGCAGTTTTTAGAGAGAATATGATGTTTTATACCTATCCTGATGGTTCTCATTCCCGAAAGGTAGTGGAAACGTCCTTTGTTGCGTTTCCCAAGATCAGAAATACATCTCACGCCAATGCACCTTTGTAGCTCACTGGTGAGGTGAGGTGAGGTGAAATTGGGTTTAACGTCGTGCTTGAGAATATTTCGCTCATATGACAACGTGCATGCGTGTGTATGTGCGGCTGCTTGTATTAGCCCAGACTGAAGCTGGTTTTATAGTGCTAGCCCACTGAGATACCATGCCGCAGTGAAGCATGAATACCCCACTCAGACACATTATACTGACTCCGAGCCGACCAGTCCTTGTTGTACCCATTAATGCCGAGCGCCAGGAAGGGACCAACAAGTACCATATTTTAACGTCTTTAGGTATGACGCGGTCGGGGATCGAAGCTGCGACCTTCCGCTCTCCGGGCGGACGCTCTAACTACTACACCACGGAGGCGGTCTGTAGCACACTGGTCCACTGAAGCAATGTGACCAATGTGCTTGACACACTCTCTCATATTTGTGCCATTGAACTGATCTGAACCATTCTATTAACATTTAATTTCAACAATAACATTTAATTTCAACAATGAGTAGAGATAAGCAATTAGTATGATTCAGAAGATAAAACATTTTACTGAAAGTAGGAGAGCAGATACAGGTGTTTCAATATTCAGAAAGATGAACCTTAATGGTTCCACCTCAAAGGTCTGCACTGAAAAGATTTCTATAAATATAAAGGTTGAGCACACCTACCCCATGGAAGGCGCTGGAGAGACTTTTCACAAAGACGACAGCCAGCATGAGGAAGTGGATTTTGTACACCTCGCTCCTGTACACAAAATACACATTCTTAACATAAGGAGTCACTTGGTCACAGGTGAGTGAATGAGTGAGTATGGGTTTACACCGCTTTTAGCAACATTCCAGCAATATCACAGCGGGGGACACCAGTAATGGGCTTCACACATTGTACCCATGTGGGGAATCGAACCTGGGTCTTCGGCGTGACGAGCGAACGCTTTAACCACTGGGCTACCCCACCGCCCCTTGGTAACAGATGAAGTTTAATAGGAGTTGCAACATTGTATCACATGTGACACAGCCACCAATGTTGTATCATGGGTGAGTGCATGTTGCCTAGCAATGCAGTCACACAAATCCCTGTTAACAATTTAGTCTGTATCTGGCAAATCAGTGACTTAAAGTATGAGGTTTGGCTGTTGTTTAATGCCGCACTCGGCAATATTCCAACTAAATGGTGCCGTCTGTAAATAATCAAGTCTGGACCAGATGATCCAGTGAACAACATCATGAGCATCAATCTACCCAATTGGTATGTGATAACATGTGTCAACCAAGTCAGCGAGCCTGAGGAGGGACGGGGGCAGCTTACTTTGTACATACGATTTAGGGGTGTGTGGGTCATTCACATTGTACATGCGCTTCCATAAAAATCACCCCCCCCCCACCACACACACACACAGAGCGTGTGTGCATGCATGATGTTTTTTGAGGGGGGTCACCCATTTTGTTCAGGGGAGTTAGGGGGTCAGCAATTTTGTACATAAAAATATAATTGAAAATTTTAATATAAATTGTATATTTATATACTTATCCTATCTCACGACTTGCACCTCTGTCTCGCTTCGACTTTTAGTGGAACGACTGTAAACTTTTTTTCCATAGGCCTCCTTGTCCATTTGCCTGTGCACTCCATGCTGCTCTCCTTAATTAGCTTCTTAGTCCCTAATAAAGATTGCAGCATGCTCCACTAATTGCCCCTTGAATGATCATTTTCATCTTGGAGCCAACGTTGTAATCTGAGTAGTGGGGAGGGAGGCCGGGCCCGGCATCCATCGCGTGAGATAGGGTAAGTATATAAATATACAATTTATATTAAAATTTTTAAATTTTTAAACTTATCCTATCTCACGACTTGCACTTATCCCACGGTTGGACAGCGGGCCGCAGATTACCCTTCTGTCTGGACAGTGCGAACAGCTGGTCTTGGAGCTGTGTGGACTGATGACAACCGTAGATAGCTATGTACAAGGGAGGCCTGTTACGCATGCACAACCTTCCATGATAGCGGTCGAGGAGAAGTTGGAGGGCCATGGTTGAGGCTAGTGCACAAATCTCATGAGGATTGGAAGTGGCTGGAGGAGGCAACCCTGCAAGGTGTAGGCTCGCAGGATCGTGGCATGCATGCAGAAGGCCAATGTGGTCTGGGAAACCTCAGTTCTTAAAGCGGTCGACAAGGGTATGAAGAGGCGCTTCTGTAGCTGTCGACGTTCCTTGGAGGCAGCAAGGTAAACAGGTAGAGCCCTAACAGGGCAGAGTGTCAAGTCTTCAATATCATCAGGCCCAAGAATGGTGGACAACGGGGGAATGGTAAACATCCGGTCCTGTTGCCCTTTCAGTTGGTTTTTCGCAATGAAGTCCCAGCGGAGACCCAGGAAAACTTGCCATGCTTCTTCCACTCGAACCGCACCCGATTGACATCAAGCGCATGCAGTTCAGATATACGAGCAGCGGCAGCCAAAGCTACCAGGAAGAATGTCTTGAATGTCACTTGTTCGAAGTCCTTGTCTTCTAAAGGTTCACAGTCTGTAGAAATCATATGACGAAGGACGACGGACAGATCCCAGGCAGGAGGTCTGAACTTCCTGAACTGGTCAGAGAGTCTATAGGAGCGTAGTAGACTTTGCAACTCGGGAAAAGTGGAAATCTTCGTGCCCGTGGTGGTAGCCAAAACCGAGTTGATAGCAGCTAAGTAGGTAGCTAACGTAGTACCCTTGAGTTTCTTAGTAGTGCAGAGATGCTGGAGAAACTCGGCAACGACCTGAGCCGAGGTGGAAGTGGGAGATGCAATTCCCCTAAGCTTGCAATAGTCTTCAAACTTCTTCCACTTGTTGTCGTACAAGGAACAGGTCGAAGTATAATGCGCTAAAGTGATAGCTGTGGCCACTCGGCGAGAGTAGCCCTTAGCTATGAGAGATCTCTGAAGATGCGCCAAATGTGTAGATTGAAGGTCTGAGGTGACCCGTGGCACAGTTCCGAGTGAGGGTGAAGAAGTAGGTCGTCCCGGTTGGGAAGCGGTACTGGGTTTGGCTCTGCCAGGCTTCTTAGGTTGACGAACCAACTTCTTGCTGGCCAGAAGGGTGCGACCAAAAGCAGTAGTTCAGCCTAGATGATTTATATACCAAACCACTGTCGAATTGTCTGATTGGATTAACAGACTGGTTGATTGAAGCTGTGTTGCCCAATGTGAGATGGCTTGAATTAGCACCTTGAATTCCAGCTCGTATGAAGTACACGTTCGTCAGATGACCACAGCCCGGCCACTTGGTGGTCGAGGAAGTGAGCTCCCCAGCACATGAGGGATGCATCGACGAATAAATGATGAGTCGGTGCAAAGGGCATCATAGAGACTCTGGCGCAGACATTCCGTTCGTCGAGCCACCACTGAAGGGACTGGTCGAAGCGGTTCTGGAAGGCAAATCAGTTCCTTGGGGTTGTCGGCCTGTAGATACGGGCATAGAAATCGCCGTATCGGCCGAAGTTGGAGCTGGCCTCTGTACGTTAAGGCTTGAGCTGATGTCAGAAGGCCCAGTAGCTCACGCCACTGCCGTAAGGTTCTAGCCTGAGACAGCGCTGGAGGAATGGGACGAACATCATCCCCTGACGAGTGTCAAACAGTGCTCCGATGAATTGGAGTCTCTGAGTGGGTATTAGTTCCAATTTTGTGATGTTCAACAGCCACCCTAACAGCCTGAGCAGCGTGGTGGTGAACTGTACTTGGCGAAGCAATACGATCGGATCCGGTTGAGCCTGTAGCTTTCGAAGGTGATCCCTTGAAAGTGGAGAAAGCTTGTAATAGGCTTGGTAATACGGGTAAAAAGCCACGGGGCCGTGGAAATTCCACATGGTAGGACTTTCCATTGGTAGTGATTCCCGTTGAACAAGAAGCAAAGGTTCCGGGTGTTCTGGATGTATTGGAACTTGAAGATAAGCATCCTGAATATCTAGACTGATGAGGAAGTCTCCCTTCTTCAGGATGGTGCATAATAGTTTGATCGACACCATCCTGAAGTGAGGCGGTGGAAGCAGGAATCGGGCATTGAACAACTTCATATTGAAGATGAGCCGGAGTTTGTTGGAATTTTTCTTTGGAACCAAAAAGATGGGGCAGTAGAATCCTGGAGTGATGGGCAATGGACCTAGGAACTCTATCGCGAGTTCGTCTAATAGCGTAACTATTGTGGATTGCAGTCGTGCGATTGTCTCAAGCCGTCACTGCTTCCTGGAGTTGGTCCTGGGGGGACGGCGGGAGGAACCACCACGGCCAGATCTATTTCCTCTGCCACGGCCTTGAGTGGATGCGCCACGAAACAGATTGTGTAAATCCGGATTGGTAGGGGTGAACTGTGCAGTTCGAGACTGTTTTAATGAGTCCTGGGAGCTGTGACTTCTGTATCTTTAACAGTTCAATCGAGACTGAAAGTGGGTTTCTTTATCAACCTTAGTAGACACTTCTTGGATGCTGCCATTGAAGAGGGAGTCAGTAAGCCATGGCTGGAGAAACAGTTCTGATTTAAATCGCTTCTCCCATGAAGAGATGTTAAGGGGTCCACGTCGGCGAACAGCAAGAATGTAGCCCAAAAAATGAGACAACTGATCCAGGATAATTTGGAACTGGTCCAGAGCTAAAGTCATGCATCCCTCGTCTTGATCAGTGTAGGTATGCTCCAAAGCAGAGTTGACAGTGTCGACTGCTGCAATCACGCAACTAATAGATGGCAATGTCTTTCTCACGGCTGAGTCCTTGTGAGCCAACTCTCAGTCCTCAATAAGGTAGGGCAAAGCAGCTCGTTTGCCACACAGGGTTCCAATGTCCTCATCAACTGTTGGGGCTGTAGCGATTTTTGTTAGGCCGTTGAAATGAGAGGTAGAAGGATTATATCTGAGAGCAGAAATCTGTTCTTAATTCGTTTCAGGCTGTTGAAACCATCATTTAGTGTACTGGATAATTTCAGAATACAAGGCCGAGGTGGTAGGGTGATGGTAGACCAATCCCGGTTCCTAAGAGTATAAGAGTGATCCAGGTGTCATCTGCTGAAGAACTCAAGGGAAGTTGGAGCTTCTCAACAATCCAAACGAGTACCTGAGCTGTCTCAACAGCTGCAAAGCTACCCCCAGGGGTAGATAACTCAGAGTGAGCGGGAGATGCAGGCATGGCTATTTGGACTGGATCAATCTCAGGAGGTGGACCAGATGAAGAGCCAGGAGCTACCGAAGCCGGATGGGCTGGAGTAGACGGCTGTATTTGGTTCCAGGCTGAGGTTATGGCTCTGATCATCATATTAAGATCCGGAGTCGCTGTAGGAGTGGGATTGAGATCAGGTTCCCATGACTCAGCGATGATCCTAGAGTGAGTCGAAGGATTCTCAGAGCGTGTAAGCGGAACATCCTAAGCGACTGTAGGCCTATTAGTGGTATCAGAGCAATGATCACCCGAACGTCGGTCAGAGGAACTGTATCGAGATCTCAACATGGTAAGTACCGAAGTATGTTGGTAAGCCAGTGATCTGGATTCCCTAGTATGGCTAGGTGATCCGGTATGATATGAAGAACTAGTCGGGGTCGCTGTAGTTCTAGTTGGTGATCTGGTTCTGATTGGAGCTCTGGTTCGACCATCTGAATAGGATCAGCCATGAGATGTGGATCTGTACTGTGAAACAGATTGGTCAATGGCTCTGTAAGGTGATCTATATCGTATAGGTGACCTGGGTCGCTAAGATGATCGGATCGATTTAATGCACTAAACTGGAAACTGATTGGTACGGTGATCTAGATTGGGTTTGTGATGGTGATCTGGATCGTGAAAGTGATCTAGATCGTTGTGGTGATCTGGAATGATGTGGTGATCTGGATTGGCGATTAGGTGACGAAACCTGAAGTGTTGATTCATGATGAACGTCCCCCGGTGACGCTGTTGTAGCCAGCTCCGTTCGGTTCAATGAACTGTGGGGGGACAGTTGGCTGGTTGAACGCGGTTGGCAAGGCTCCAAACAAACTGAGACAGTCGAGGGGATATGTACCGATGATCTGGAAGATGATAATATCGATCTAAGGTCCCCTGATAGTGTAGATGGGCAACGATGGATTATCGATCACAACCACCCGCGAGTGATCTGACGCTATGGAAGGAGGCGATTGATGTGCACGTAATAGGTGCCGAATGTCCTCAGATAAGTAGGAATCTGAGGAAGCGTCCATAAAATCATCTTGACGTCGCTCTCTTGCGCGAAGGTAAGATTTTCTGTCACTGTAACTTGACCATCCTCGATAATCTCCAGGGTATGAGTTACGATCACTTTTCACTATACCCTGAATGCATCCACGGCTTGGCCCGAAAATTTTATTACCTCCCTTTGCTGGCTTTTTATCCAATCAGGTGTCTACGCTGGGAAGTTGAGCGAACTAATCACAACTCACTTTCGCTTCTTAATTTATCTAACCGTTTAAACTTGGCAACACAATTGAGGCACAGGTTCTCTGAAAGAGGTAGAAGTTCTTTCATATAGTTTTTCAAAGTTTCAGATCTGTCAATTTGTCTGTATTATTTCCCCCAAATTCTGAGTGACACTGCGAACAAACCTTCGCGACTGCGACCGCTTTCTTTGACACTGGCAAGCTTGGATGTAACGACAGCTTCGCTGATTGGCTACGGTGATGATGCGGAGCCAGCAAAGGGAGGTGATAAAGTTTTCGGGCCAAGCCGTGGATGCATCCAGGGTATAGTGGAGCGTGATCGTAACGTATACCGTGGAGATTATCGAGGATGTAACTTGACATGCTTCGCGGGAGTGGGATCAGATTCTGTTGATTTCCTGCCCCTATCGGCGATTCTCCGGGAGCAAACACAAAGGTAGGCCTTAAAATCCTCATCTTTTAGTGAATTACACTTGCCACATCGTTTGTTCCAGTTACATTGTCCAAGACAAGTGAGGGTTGAGGGACGAATAATTCGTCTTGCATTGTGCACAAACTTTCCTTTTCTTTGACTCATTATCTGCTCTCCCCATGATGTTCGGGTGTAATAATGTCCAAAATATACAGCACGTCCACACAGTCGTGCGACAAGAAAGAGAATGATCATGTAAGGTAGTCACGTGGGCAATTAGTGGAGCATGCTGCAAGCTTTATCAGGGACTAGGAAGCTAATTAAGGAGAGCAGCATGGAGTACACAGGTGAATGGACAAGGAGGCCTATGGAAACAAGTATACAGTCGTTCCACTAAAAGTCGAAGTGAGAGAGAGAGGTGCAAGTTGTGAGATAAGATAAGTTTAAAAATTTGATTTTGTACATGACTAATAACCCCCTAGCAATAAATTACAAACGCTCCGTGAGCCCATATGTTTTTGTTTCTGTAAAATTGTCTGAAAACACTATGGTTGGGATAATCAGTGAAGTTTCAGCTTCATCCACTGTATGTATTGCTTCAGCAAAGACGGACAGGACAGCTTGCTACAATGTACAGATTAACAATACTACAAACTGCTGTCATAATCCAGTCACAACATTGCATGCATGAAGGGAAGTGTTGATCACCTGCGCAGACCTATAAAAGTTCTCCACACAGATACAAGTAGGTGATATCACAGATACAAGTAGGTGATATCACTGATACAAATAGGTGATATCACAGATACAAGTAGGTGATATCACATATACAAGTAGGTGATATCACATATACAAGTAGGTGATTTCACAGATACAAGTAGGTGATTTCACAGATACAAGTAGGTGATATCACAGATACAAGTAGGTGATATCACAGATACAAGTAGGTGATATCACATATACAAGTAGGTGATATCACATATACAAGTAGGTGATTTCACAGATACAAGTAGGTGATTTCACAGATACAAGTAGGTGATATCACAGATACAAGTAGGTGATATCACAGATACAAGTAGGTGATATCACAGATACAAGTAGGTGATATCGAGACAGTCAGGGATCGCTGAGTCTGCAGATAGTGACATTACAAATTCCCAATTTGAATTTAAAAATGATTCCTACCACCAGTGTCTGTGTATTGCCAGGATATCACCAGCTTCTACAGAGGTGCAAGACTCCTTACAGTGCCTGTGTATTGTCAGTATATCATCAGCTTCTACAGAGGTGCAAGACTCCTTACAGTGTCTGTGTATTGCCAGGATATCACCAGCTTCTACAGAAGTGCAAGACTCCCTACATTGTCTGTGTATTGCCAGGATATCACCAGCTTCTACAAAAGTGCAAGACTCCCTACAGTGTCTTTGTATTGCCAGGATATCACCAGCTTCTACAGAAGTGCAACACTGCCTACATTGTCTGTGTATTGCCAGGATATCACCAGCTTCTACAGAAGTGCAAGACTCCCCACAGTGTCTGTGTATTGCCAGGATATCACCAGCTTCTACAGAGGTGCAAGACTCCCTACAGTGTCTGTGTATTGCCAGGATATCACCAGCTTCTACAGAGGTGCAAGACTTCTACAGTGCAAGACTCTGTACAGTGCCTGTGTATTGCCAGGATATCACCAGCTTCTACAGAGGTGCAAGACTCCCTACAGTGTCTGTGTATTGCCAGGATATAACCAGCTTCTACAGAGGTGCAAGACTCCCTACAGTGTCTTTGTATTGCCAGGATATAACCAGCTTCTACAAAGGTGCAAGACTCCCTACAGTGTCTGTGTATTGCCAGGATATAACCAGTTACTACAGAGGTGCAAGACTCCCCACAGTGTCTGTGTATTGCCAGGTATCACCAGCCTGCCCCTACAGTTTCTGTGTATTGCCAAGATGTCACCAGCCTACCCCTACAGTGTCTGTGTATTGCCAAGATATCATCAGCCTGGCCCTACAGTGTCTGTGTATTGCCAAGATGTCACCAGCCTGTACAGTGATGGAGATAACTAGATAGACCTTCAGATGTGGGAAAGGACAGAGGAGGGGAAAATAAACACATACACTGACTTTTTGAGCACGCCGAGCCACAAACATGCGGCAATGAAGAAGATGAGGCTGAAGGTGAAGTAGAGAGCTGGCTCGGGCATCTGTCCGGCAGACAGGAAGTTACCGTTGTTGTCCTCGGTAATCTCCAGCTGTGGATGGAACCATCATCATGAGTGATGTCATTGTGGCTCAGGTGTGACAGAGCCATTGTGTCGGTAGAGCTTGGTTATCACATATTTCAGGCTACGGATAATGAGTGAGGGAGGGCATTTTTATGCCACTTTGAGCAATATTCCAGCAATATCATGGCGGGGACACCAGGAATGGTTTTCACAGATAGGGATTATTTTAGTTTTAAGTAGCTTTTAGCAACATTCCATTATTATCCGGCATGAGACACGAGAATTGGGCTTCACACATTGTACCATGTGGGAATTCGAACCTTGGTCTTCGGCGCGATGACCGAATGCTTTAACAACTACCCTACCCCAATGCCCCTATGGATAATAAAGACATACGACATATCCTATGATTATGACCCTAGATTATTTACAGACCGCTGCCATATAGCTGGAACATTGCTGAGTGCGGTGTTGAACTAAACTCACTCACTCACTGCAACATGCATGCTATAATTACAACTTAAATTACTTGTTAATAATAACTTTAGGTTTCAGATGATTAGGATTTAACTATCACATATACACTTCCTATTATAAGTTTTTTACTGAGTAATTATTACAACATGTAATTACTACGTGCAGTTAAGGTTTGTTATTTAACGCCACACACAACAATGGGACATCAACCTGTAAATACTTGAGTCCGGACCAAACAATCACATGACAGGTATTATGAGCCAATATCAAAATTGTCGATGACACGGAATGAATTGGTGTCTGACCACGAATCCATTTTGTTGTTGTAGCAAAGTTACATTGAGTAGTACTAGGAGTGAGTGAGTGAGTGAGTTTAGTTTTATGCCGCAGTCAGCAATATTCCAGCTATAAATCTGTAAATAACCAGTCTGTATAGAATCCAGAGAATCCAGAGATCAACAGCATGAGCATCGATCTACGCAAATGGGATACAATGACATGTGTCAACCAAGTCAGTGAGCCTGATCACTCGATCCCGTTTGTCGCCTCTTACGACAAGCATGGGTTACTGAAGATCAATTCTTACCCGGGATCTTCTCAGGTCACATTGCATGGGACCAAATTTAACCTGAAATAACCACAGGACAATGATCTGACTGCCCTTACAGGTACTTACGGAGAGGTTGACAGTGGCCTTGGATTGCTTGTTGTAGTTGTAACAGTTATGGAAGAACAGGTTGTACAGTCCCTCTTCCTGTTCGGTTCTGATGGCCACAAGAAACTGCAACAGAAGCAAAAAAAAAACATAAAAAGGTATTTTTTAGAAACAAATATCATCTATACTTATGCTGACTCATATGCAAAAGTGGCCCCCCCACTATCCAGTTTTGGAATTCTGTGATAGGGATAGGGATAAAAAATGAGGGCGTGACAAGTCCAGGTCACATGCTACGGGTGGACAGATCGAGGCTGTAACTGTGTTCGTGTGAGATGTTTTTCTGTTCTTGGGAACACAGGTGTTGGAGCATCCACTACCATTCAGCAAAGAGTGAGTGAGTGAGTGAGTGAGTGAGTGAGTGAGTGAGTGAGTGAGTGAGTGAGTGAGTGAGTGAGTGAGTGAGTGAGTGAGTTTAGGTTTACGCAGCTTTCAGCAATATTCCAGCAATATCATGGCGGGGGACACCAGAAATGTGCTTCACACTGTGCCCACGTGGGGAATGGAACCCGGGTGTTCGGTGTGACGAGCAAACGCTTTAACCACTAGGCTACGCGACCGTCCCCATTCAGCAAAGAGTGGAGACAAGCAATTAGCATGATTCAGGATAAGGTAAAATTTAGCATTTTCATGACAAAGCTAATTCCAGCCACATCACTGTCTAGTATCAGCTAATAAAATTTCAGTTTCATCCTCGATTGTCAAAAGTATAACATTTCTATTCTATTCTGGACCCAGAGCTCCAGATAAGATTTAGCTCATGTGGGTACTGTACCCGCTGTATTTTTTTGGAGTGGGTATTATGAATGTTGAGTGGGTATTTCATTTTCCGTTACCAACAGCTTTCAAATATGTGCGTCATTTTACTCACCTAAGTATTATGTCATTGAGTAAGTTTACTAAGCAGGTATGTTCTGCCTTATGTCATACCTAATCAAAACCAACTTAAATATAATGGAAATGATTTCATAACATTGTCACTCATCCTATACTGACAGTACAACACTAGTCCTATACTAACAGTACAACTTGATAGCAAGCGATGTCTTTTTCATTACGCAAGCGATTTTTATAAATATATTCCGTATGCATTTGTTTTAAACTTTTTGCGTATGTAACATTTTAAATGCGTAATTGGCACGCAACAATTAGTTTTCAATGCGTAATTGGAAATTTTTCATGCGTATTTTACCCGGATACGCGGCTTACCTGGGCCTCTGTGGACCCATATGCTTTGTTTGTTTTGTTGCTTAACGTGTCTATCATCAATATTACAGCTATATGGCAGCGGTCTGTGAAAAATCAAGTCTGAACCAGACAATCCAGTGATCAGTATCATGAGCATCAATCTACGCTATTGGGATATGATGATATGTCTCAATCAAATCAGCAAGCCTTTTACGACAATCATGGGTGGGTGAAGACCAGTTTTAGCTGGGATGTTTATGGGTACCCATTGCAACCACAGCAGTGTATTGAGTCAGCCATATCAGCTGGTAGATGCAACAATAAGACCAATCCGTTACATTTTTTTTCTTAATACTACTGGCTACCGAACAGTTAACGCCATATTTTAGCAGTATTTACAAAATTACTCCGCCGTTTGTTAAATTAATGAAATAAAATTAATAATGATACTTAATTAGCTATTCACCGATGTGTCCAGCCCGTTCACTGCCGCCGATCATGTTTTTATATAACCCGGCGGAAGGGAATCATGGCAGTATAAATAGATGTTTTCTCACAACTAACTGTAACAGTTATCGCCATTTAGAATTTCTCATGCAATTCGTGAAATAATATATATTTATATCATACAGTAACCTCGAATAATTGATTGTGTGACTATTTGAGGGTTTCTTTTACAGTAGATTGATAGGGAATGAAACAATTAATGGCTTGTGAACTTGAACTTGCTATTATATAGGTCATGGGACATCCCCCCGACTAAATTAAAATTTTGTTATAGGGTTCATTACTTTATCTTCAATTTTTCTCCGCGCAATTACGTCAGTAAAGTGTTGATTTCCGATTACCTACATGGTTTTCAAAACGTACTGCTCCTAAGTCCTTTCTCACCTTGGTAAGTTAGGGAGATTGGTACTGAACGTTAAACTAGTTGAGCAACCGAGCTATTCCCTCTTTCACTGCCTTCCAGCGTGTGTCTGTGGGGGTAGTTTCGAAGCAGAGACTGGCCAGATTTAGGTCTTCGACTTTAATTCACTGGGGTCACCTGATAAATCACAGAGCGGCGGGGCCTACTTGCCAAACTGCGTCCTTTTGCTTGTCAAAAGTTGCGGCTGAAAACCACATTAATTCGGGAGCGCCCACTCCCTAGAGTTTTTGTGCTGTGTAAGCCAAGTGGTTACAAGAAACCCATCTCAAGTTTGGAGTCTGCATATCGGGGGTTGGTGCTTTCTCCTGGCCTCCTTGGGGTTATGCGTCTTCCCGGTTGTCCTTATTGCAAGGTAATCTGCGGCCCTCCTACCAACCGTGGGATTGTGCATACCGTGAGATAGGATAAGTTTAAACATTTGTAAATTTTATAATAAATTGTATATTTATATACTTATCCTATCTCACACGATGGATACCCACCTGACCTGCCCCACATCACAGATTACTATTAGCTCCAAGACGAGAATGACAGGCACAGGTAGTCACATGATCATCTGAGCGAGCTCCACGCTTACGGAGATGATTGACAGGTGCTGATGTCGGAATGGGGGCAGAGGTTGGGGGGGTGGGGGATGGGCAGAGGCCAGTAAGATTTGATTCAACTTAGCCTACAGCACGTTTCCACACATGGTCGTAGAGAAGAAGAGAGGTGCATACCGTGAGATAGGATAAGTTTAAAAATTTGTAACTGACCGAAACTATGTGCAGTTGTGAGACTGATGTATTGGCAATAACTGTTACGAGGCGACAACTGTTCGTTAGCCAGTACAGATCACGAATATTTGGAGTTCAATCTAATTTAGCTCCTTCACAACTCCTTTACGCCCACCCATGTGCATACAGTGGGATTGTTTAGACAAATGGTTGAGCAGGATATCTAAGCTCAAAGACAGTGAGTGAGTGAGTTAAGTTTCACACCGCACTCAGCAGTATTCCACTATATGGCAGTGGTCTGAAAATCCTGGTAGTCGCCTCTTACGACAAGGGTTACTGCAGATCAATTCTTTCTCAGATCATCATGAGGCTCAAAGACAGTGAAAACACTTGCAGTTGACATAACGCAGAAATGTGCTTTTACTACTTTCAGTAGAGACAAATGCATAGAATGTACCCATAGAAACAACGCACAAACTGCAGCAAATTCTAGAGTGAGTTAGTGAGTGTAGTTTTACACCGCTCTTAACAATATTCGGCAGGGTACACTAGAAATAGGCACCAACATTGTACCCATGTGGTGAATCGAACCCGGGTCTTCGATGTGACGTGCGAACGCTTTAACCACTAGGCTACCCCATCGTCCCACAAATTCAAGACAAGAAATATAATAAAAATAGTCCCCAAATCTTTCAGCACTGTACTCACACCTATTTTCCCCCCAAGAAAATGACTGACTGACATTAGTTTTCCCCCGCTATTAGCAATATTCCAGCAATATCACGGCGGGGGACACCAGAAATGGGCTTCACACATTGTACCCATGTGGGGAATCGAACCCGGATCCTCGGCGTGACGAGCCAACGCTTTAACCACTAGGCTACCCCACCGCCCCCCAAGAAAATGAAATAAACAAGCATTGTCACTAAGGTGACATAATCGTCCGCCGCAAATTATCAAATCAAACTTAAAAAGTAATGAAAGTTTAAGATGAAGTTAAATGTAAACAAAAACATGACCAGTCAACCTCTCTTGATATCTTGCTCTTTAGTTGTTTAAACACACAAATATTTTCAAGACTGACTTTGACTTTGACCTTGACATGAATGTCATAGTGTATGAAATATGCAAAAATGGCACTAAAGAAATTGCTTATTGAAAAACATTCAAGGGAAGTCTTGAAAGTTTATGAAGAAAATCCAGTGAATTCAGGTTAACATGCTGAAATCTTCAAAGTGTCGCAGTGACCTTGAAAATTATGTGAAGGTCACCAAAATTGACTGGGCCCTGCGCCTTCATTAGATGAAGCTTGGAGCCAAATATGAAAAAAATCCAGTGAATAGTTCTTGTATCTCACTGACAAGCATAACATGCAGGTTAATATGCTGAAATCTTCAAAGTGTCGCCATGACCTTGAAAATTATGTGAAGGTCACCAAAATCGACCTTTATCCCTAGATAAAGCTTGGTGTTGTATATGAAGAAAATCTGGTGAACAGTTGTTGAGATATCTCGCTGACAAGAGTAAATTGTTAAAGTCCCCTTGTGACCTTGAAATAAAGGTCAAGGTCACCAAACCTGATTGGGACCTTTCTTATACTGTTGATGAACCTAGGTACCAAATATGAAAAGAAGCTAGTCTACGGTTCTTAAGATATTCCAATTGGTACGTACGGATGTACTGACGGACGGAGCCTAATACTATATAAATGTGCGGCGGAGGATAATAATCAATCACTTTAAACCCTGGTTTAGCGAGTCAATGCCAAAGCCAGAATAATCTTGAATAGTATGCCAATTTTCCAGCTATATGGCGGCGGTCTGTAAATAATCGAGTCTGGACCAGACAATCCAGTGATCAACAGCATGAGCATCGATCTGCGCAATCAGGATACAATGACATGTGTCAACCAAGCCAGCGAGCCTGACCACCCGATCCCATTAGTCGCCTCTTACGACAAGCATAGGTTACTGAAGACCAATTCTAACCCGGACTTTCACGGGTGTGAGATGAGAAAGATTTTAGGTTACTTTTAGCAATATTTCAAAAACATTAACATGGGATATTAGACACAGGATTCAGGGTGAATAAGCTGAAGAGTGAGTGAGTGAATGAGAAATAGGCTTCAACATTGTACCCATATGGGGAATCAAACCCGGGACATTAGCATGAAAAGCGAACGCTTTAACCACTAGACTCTCCCACCCCACCCAGAAAGATGACAAAGCCTTACTAAAGGTAGATATACTTACGTGTCCAGTGAACACTCCTTCAGTTTCGTTCATTTTAAAAACCAGAGTGTCATTGGAGACAGCTTTCGCAGTCTGGACAGTAGATTTTCCTGCAGTTGAATCGGAATTCAATGCTGTTGCTGTTGACGGTAATGTTGTAGTTGATGATGCAGATGTTTTTGTTGATGTTGCAGTTGGGGCCCCCCCGACAGCCTGACGTTCCGACCTGTGGACCAGAGATTGGTCAGTGAGAGAGGCCGCAATGTGGGACCTCTTTGCAGATGAGGTGTCTCTGCGCTGGAGGTTGTTGTCGTCGAGGTAGGTGTCTCTGTCTTGTTCTGTGATGAGCAAATGGCTGGACATTGTGTCCCCTGGCTTGTGTTTCACGATCAGCCTGAGAGTGGAGAAGAAACAGCAGTACAGGGAAAGAAATGTTTTAAGCATGCCATGTGGCACTCTAAGATGTTCAGGGAAAAACTTTGGAATTCAGGACCAACATGAACAATTTTTAATCCATATTCAAAATCTCATTTCTCCATGAACTAGATAATAACAGCTACAATAAAGAAATTGTTTTCATTTTTCTTGACCGTTTTTCCTCACTTTTTACTGCATGATACAGGGAATTATCATTATCTGAGCATGCGTATCACACTGATATTATGAGAAAAGTCTGAGAATTCTTGAGAAACAAAATCTAGGGTAATGGTGATGCAAAGATACATCTAAGTTGAGAACTGGTACAAAACTTACTTTTTCTGCAGTGGATCTATTATGAAGAGAACCATGGAAACTGACTGGTCCTTAGCGTCAAGTTTTTCTAATATACAACTGTCCTGCATGTTCTCCTGAAACCAGACAGGATAAATCCACAGTCGTTACAGAGTGAGTGAGTGAGTGAGTGTATCCTTTTATGTCGCTTTTAGCAATATTTCAGAAATATCACAGCTGGGGACACCAGAAATGGGTTTCACACACTGTACCCATGTGGGAAATCAAAACAGGGTCTTCGGCGAGACGAGCTAACGCTTTAACCACTTGGCTACCCTTCCTCCCTGAATACATCTTCAGCCCCATTATTAATTTGAATAAACCTGTCCCATTTGTGGACTTGAATGCATCTGTAGTCATTTATTAACATGAATAAATAACAATTGATGCTGTCTTCTAGAGGTACAGCGGTACATCATGTTTGGTATAGTGTCCACAACTGCAAGCTTATGGTGATACTTTATATATTTGTATGTTTTTGAACATCCATATGATCCACAGGCAATCAAAAATACAGTAGTTTTTGCTTGTATTAGCGTGATCACTTCATTCTGACCATGCCGATGGTCCATACAAAAAAGAATGATAGTAGGCCAGGGCTCCAGATAATTTTTCAACATCAGGAGTACGTACTCCTTATTTTTTCAATGCAGGAGTACTGGAAAAACATAAGAGTACATTTAGAGTACTGAATGGAATTTAATGGCGGATCAGTAATCTTGTGTTTTGTTTCATATATGCACCACAACATTGCTACTCTTGTGTAAACAGGTCAATAAACAATAAAACAGTACTTTTTCAGATAAATACGTCTGTAAATGATTGTAAGACCGTACACACTGCTGTTGTGCGTATCTGCTACATTTTCTAAATTATTTCCTACCGTATCGTGCTTATGTTTATCCGTACATACGCCGATACGGCCCTTATCTGGAGCCCTGGTAGGCTTAATGATTGTGTTATCAGTGTCTAGTTTAAGTCTGGGCTAGTACAAGCAGCCGCACATACACATACACGCGCATGCACGTCGTCATATGAGCGAAATATTCTTAAGCACGACGTTAAACCCAATTTCACCTCACTTCTAATTCATATGATTTGGTTGGTTGTTGTGTAACGCCACACTCAGCAGTTTTCTAGGTATACAGGGGTGGTCTGCAAATAATCGATTCTGGACCACACAATCCAGTGATCAACACCATGAGCATCAGTTTACCCATCTAGGATACAATGACATGTGTCAACCGAGTCAGTGCACCTGACTACCCAATTCCCGTTTGTCGCCTCTTATCACAAGCATGGGTATCTGAAGATCAATTCTAACCCAGATCTTCAGGGATTCTCACTCATATGAAAGTACGAAAGAGCACCTGAATGACATCCCCATAGACATAAACACATGACAAAGGACAGAATTGAATCACCCCTTTGAGCCTGTATGGCCTAATTTCATTGGCCATGTAGGAGGTGGGGTGGTCCAGCGGATAAAGTGTTCGCTCATCACTACCACACTGTGGTTTTGGTGGTTTTGGTACTAAACATAGCCCAGATCTGTCATCTTACTTGTAGGCTACTGGGTTAGATATGTCCAGACATGTGATGATTGGGGTTTGAATTGGTCTCAGCAACCAAGGCTTGTTGTAAGAGGTAAGTAACTGGACGGTTGGTCAGACACACTGACTTGGTTGAGACGTCACTGTATCCGAACTGCACAGATTGATGCTCATACAGTTGATCACTAGATTGTCTGGTCCAGACACCATTATTTGCAGACCACCCCCAAAGAGCTGGAATATTGCTGAGTGTGGAGTTAAATAACACACAAACAAAACACTGCACGTCACTGTATCCGAACTGCACAGATTGATGCTCATACAGTTGATCACTGGATTGTCTGGTCCAGATACCATTATTTGCAGACCACCCCCAAATAGCTGGAATATTGCTGAGTGTGGAGTTAAATAACACACAAACAAAACACTGCACGTCACTGTATCCGAACTGCACAGATTGATGCTCATACAGTTGATCACTAGATTGTCTGGTCCAGACACCATTATTTGCAGACCAACCCCAAATAGCTGGAATATTGCTGAGTGTGGAGTTAAATAACACACAAACACGACACTGCAGATACTTACAATGTATGATGAGACCTCTTTTGTTTTGCTCTTGTCCAGAGTGAAACCAAATACCTGAAATAGATCAGAACAAACATCACAGGTAACCATTTGCAACTGGGGCAGGTTTTCACCCACAATATGCAGATCGATAATCAGTGCTCAGTAATCAATCAATAATCGATTGTAATCATAAATCCCCACAAAACTCACGTGGGCAGTAATGGGACACAATAGTAACACTGTGTAAACAAAACAGGCACCGATTAATACCATAATGAAGACGATCAAAGATACTTCCTGTTGAGACGCACAGGTGCATGTTGTTTACATCGCAGTTTTACGAGTCAGGAAACTACATCAGTTGTTTATGTCTTGACTTAAGAAACAAAACAATAAGAAACTTTACTTTTTCTAGTATATTTTGATGTTTCATTTCTTATGCACATCGATTAGACTCCATAGTCTGCTGAGCTCATCGATAAATCATCTGATGGTATTTGTACATGTTCAAAGGACACAATGTGTTGTGGCTATTCTTAGGGCTGTGTTTTGGCAAATAAATTGTATTGTATGACAGTAAGTGACACTAATTGTACATGTCGATCCTATTTTCTAAATTATTAGTCCCTAAAAATATGTTATAGGTTCTGATAACAGCTATTAGGTTTCATAGTCAGGGGATTTTATTTTCTTGTTTTATATATATATTAATAGCATTACAGTATATAATTTTTTGATTAAAATTGATATTTTATACTTATCCTGACTCATACATAATTGCTTGTCTCCTTTTTCTTGCGAATGATAGTGGAACACTTGAATCCCCTTTTGAAGCTCCCTTCAAAACAGCGGACGTAAAATCACTCACCCAGTGTTATCTCCCTTTAGATGTCTTGGCGGGAAAATGCATCACATGACCCAACATGCTCTTCACTCTCTCCTGAATTATGCGCCCGACACCTGGATTACAGGGAATCCAGAGTGCCACGAGGGGAGGTTGGGAGGGCTTACTTCATGAGTCAGGATAAGAATAAATATCAATTGTAATAAAATAATTACATATTTTTTCCTTATCCTGGCTCATGCTTAATTGCTTGTAGAATCCAACGGAATTGGTGGTGGGTCAAGCCACTCTGGATTCCATGCTGATTTACGTCCTGTATACCCCCCCTGAGGGAACTTCTTGTAGTACTATGCTGATCCTTCCTTCCAGCTTCCTCTGATGAGTTTGGGGGGACCACAGCTTGTCATATTTATCTGGACCCGCTTCTCCTGACAGTAAATGTGGATTTATACGACTCCATGTCTTGTTTCTCGCATCAAGTGGAGAAGCGACCCTTCATCATATACGAGTAAGACCTTACAAGTATAGGGTCTGTCACTCATGCTAGCCTATCTTAGATGTGCGCCATGGACACTAAGCTCTAACTCTTCCGAGTGCCGGCTTATACAAGTCATGTGATAAAGGATGAGATTCATCTCAGTGTCTTTGAGGAACCATCAATTGTTCTGCTACAACAAGAGGCCCAAACTGGTGGATACCGGAGACATCCTCGGTAGCAATGTCTCTGAGGTAGTGGTTGGCAAACACCGTCTCCGACTTCCAATAGCAGCCCTCCATTATTGTCGAGATGGAGCAGTTTCCATGTAGAGCGAGTGTCGACGCCAGTCCTCTGACTTCATGAGGATTGGAGGCTCGTGTCTTGCTGCTTTATAGGCTCTCAATATGACGGCTCTCATCCATATTGATATTGTTGTACGTGAGATTTCTTTAGGTGTCTCAGTAGATATAGGGATGAAAAGGCGCTTGAATTTTCGTCTCCTCATCTTCAACCTTTGTAGGTAAACTTTTAATGCTCTAACTGGACATAAGGGACTGAGAAAGTGCTGGGATGTGGAATTGCCTGTCTGGCTGACTGGGCAATTGGTTCTTTGCTATGAAATCCCATGTCAATCCCAGATGTATGATATTGTGATGTGCATCAAATCGAATTCATTCAAAGTCCAGAGCATATATTTCTGACATCCGTGCTGCTGTTGCCAAGGCGACCAGGAACAGAGTTTTATGTGTTAAAAACTCATAAGATGTCCTTTCTAGTGGTTCGTAAGCATCACTGGTGAGATGCTGTAAGACTACGTTGAGATCCAAAGCACACGCTTTGAATTTCTTTTGTTGGTCTTCCAACTTAAAAGAGTGTAGTAGAGCTAGTATCTCTGGTACTTTAGTCAGTTTCACACCCGTCTTCATGGTGATAACTGTACTGAGGGCCGCTAGGTATGTAGATAGTGTTGAACCTTTTAACCGCCTTGTTTGTCTTAGATGACAAAGGTATTCCGCCACTTGAGGATGTGTTGCTTTCATTGCCGTGAAGCCCTTCCTTAAAGCGTATTTCTCAAAACTCTGCCACTTGTTGTCGTACAAGCTGCGGGTTGATCTACGTAGAGCTAATGTGACTGCGTTCGCTGCTCTGGCGGAGTATCCTCTTTTCTTCAAGCAAGTTTTGATACGTTCCATGCGTGTAGTTGGAATACTGTTGGATTCCCGTGTACTTGCTTGGTGTGCGGATGAATTAGTAGGTTCGGCCACTCTGGAAGTTGTAGGGTTGGATTTCTGAGTTCTTGTGAGGATGGTAAACCACACCCTTGCTGGCGAGTAGGGGCTGACCAAAACCAGTTGCAGGTTCTTGCGTCTGCTTGACCAAAACCAGTTGCAGTTGTTTTCTTCATCCATTCCGTCGGGGATGGTTGTGTTGGACGAGATAGGGCTCCTATCCTCTGTATGATAGGGCGTCTGCTATCACATTCTTGGCTCCGGGAATGTGACATGCTTTCACGTCGATGTTCAAATTGTCTATTATGCTGAATAGATGAAAGCTGAGATCTAGAAGATTCCTTGACCTTGTTGATCCTTGTTTGTTGACGTAGAACGCCACTGTGGAGTTGTCTGTATGGATCATCAGTTGTGCGTTCCTTAGTATGCTGGACCAGTGTAGTAAGGCGTTCATGACTGCTTTCATCTCGAGCATGTTGATGTGCAGACTTTGCTCCTGATTCGACCATTTCCCTGCTGCCACTTCGTTGTCGAGGTGGGCTCCCCATCCTTGAAGTGATGCATCTATGTAGAGATGAGTGTTGTACTCAGGCTCTGATAAGTAGGTTCCTCCGCAAACATTTGACTTCCGAGTCCACCATAGGAGATATGGTTTCAGTCCGTCCGGTAGTCCAGACTGTCTAGATGAGCATTCACAAACACTTGTAGTGGGCGCCAGTTGTAGTCTTCCTCTGCGTGTCATGTGTTGTGCTGACGTGAGGAGACCAAGTAGGCTCTGCCAAGTAGGCTCTTGAATCCCGTCGTCCAGGTAAAACGCACTGCGTAGACCTCGATGATGTAGATAAGTGAGTTGACACTCGAGTAAACAACCAGGCGGCCGACGATATTCCAAGTGGTAAAACCTTCCATTGGAAGTGACGTCCGTTGAAGAGGAATTGTAGGTATTTCCTTGAGTCCGGATGTATCGGGATGTGAAGATACGCATCCTGTAGATCTATGCTGGCGAGGTAGTCTAATGGACGTATGAGTTGTCGCAGTTGAGGTAGATGTATCTATCTGAACTTTGCGGGACTGCGTAGATAATCTTGGTTGAATTTCCTCATGTTGTATATAAGTCGGATCTTTTCCCCGGAATTTTTCTTTGGTACTAAGAAGATTGGGGAGTAAAAAACGGGCGTGACGAACTCCTGTTTTATTTCTTCGATCGCCTCCTTCTCGAGTAGAGTTGTGATGGCGTCGAGTAATTTCTCCCTCTGGTCGGCAGCATAGTTGTGGGCCAGAGAGTTGCTTGTCAATGGTGGTACTGCTTGTAGTTGTATCTTGTATCCTCTGCGTAGGATCTGGGATACGTAGTCGTCCTGAAGAATTCCCCAATTCTTTCAGTAGCGTTGTAGACGTCCACCCACTGTTGAAGGTTGTATGGGAATGGCTGGGGGTGGAAGACTCCAGTCGTTCCAAACCCGTCCTTCAGCGTCTAAAGTTCCTGGCACCTCTGGAAGCCCTGGCTCTTCCGGGGTTACCTCTGGGAGCTCCGGTTGGGCGACAAAAAGAATCCTTGCATCCTCTGGAGCTGCCGTATTTCTTTCCCTGGCTCTTTGTATTCCTGTAAACTTCGACTTGCCGGAGTAGCGTTGCGAGGTCTGACGGATAACACTGGCTAGTGTGTCGATGGACTTGATCATCATTACCTCCCTTGACTCTTTCGTTACTTCCTAGGCCACGTCCTCAATTTACCCGCGAAGATAGATGTTGCTGACCACGGAGCTCTGTATAGTGACTTGGTGAAGCGTTCAATCCAAGTACAGGAAGACAGCAATCCTTGTCTTCTCAAGAGCGACAGGCCCGCTGATGTGGATGCCTGATATTCAGACATGAACTGATGATCCTTTCTTCTGGGTTAGCAGTGCCGAGTAGATCATTCTATCTTCTTCCGAGGTCGAGTTCCTAAACTTCGCGATGAGGGTTTCATTGATGGCTCTTGACCTGACTAGGCCAAAGAAGGTACGTCTGGTAGTTGTGTCTAGTTGTGCCAACTTTTTATCTTCCACTTTATAAGTCCTAGCTCGGGAGTCGTTGATGATCTTGTAGTTCTCATCTATCTCTGGGGCCTTCGTGAAGGGTTCCATGTGGTGAGAGAATTTCTTGGCGTTGAATGGTGGGACGCTCTGACTCTGGAACTTCGTTGCCTTCCTGTGCTGAGGTTTTCCTGGTACATCTGCGACAGGATCGATGGGTGGAAGAGTAAGTGTATCTAAGTCCTCGTTAGACATCCTGTAAGTGAATGTTTCATTATCTTCTTTAGAAGGTGATGCAAGTTCTAATCCATTTGCCATCCAAAACTTGATCTCTGTATCGGAAAATATGATTCCACCATCATCTTCAGATTTAGAAGATTCTTGTTCTGGAGATGGTTGCCATTATGTCTCTTTCCGGCATGGAGATCTGCGTGGAGACCTTCGTGGAGACCCGCGTGGACACCTACGTGGGAGACCTGCGCGAAGGCGATAAATTCGGAAAAGGATCCTCCCTGAAGTCTTGAGACGTATCTCTGTGCCTTCGTGAAGGTGTAGATTCTTTTCTATGGTGCCTGCGTGCAGGCTCCAGATGGCTGTCCATAGTTGAGGAGGATGATCTGCGATGTTCCGGTGAACGTCTGGTCTCTTCTCCTTCGTGAAGGCTCCTCTGGTGAAGATGTCCTGGTACAACATAGAGTGTGTGATCCTGCTACTTCAGGGATGAGGATGGGTGGCTCATCATATAGGTCTACTTCATCTGCCGGGATGATCTCTGTAGCGACAGACCTTGTCTTAAGCGCTGCCCCATGTGAAGACTTCGCTGGAGTCTTGTTAGTAGACGACTTCTTCTTCTGAGAAGATGATGCCCTAGTCTTCTTCGACTGCGATGAGGTTATAGTTGATGTAGACGACCTCTTCTTGGAGCCGGAGCTGCCATCAGTCACAGCGACATGCTCCGCAGACGCAGCCGGTAAACCATTGGAATGGTGAATGTCAGCAGACAACAACAAACGGTTATCAACGCAATCATTTGGTTTAGACATGACTTGTGAAAGTCGTCTAGACCTGTCCTTGGCACGCCTAAGAATGGAATATAAATAATTATTAAATTCAAATTCAGATAAATGCTGACAAAGTTGACAGCGTAAGCTGGAAGAACATGGAGAAGTACAATTAGGACAATAAATGCGGATCAGCATCCGACAACCGGTATCTGCAACGACTGCAAGTTTTCATCAAATGTAAACAAGATGAAAAAACATGTCAACAACATGAATAAAACAGATAATTTGGACAAAATTTCAAACCATATTGTTGGTAGATCAATCCTAAAAGCTGTATACAGCTAATTTAGTAGCAAAGGCCTAAAAATTAAAGGATATAACGCTGTATAGGGGACCAAGGCGCTCTCACAACTGTCCTCTAGGGCGAAGAAGGAGAGAGTGTTGGGTCATGTGACGCGTTTTTCCCGCCAAAACATCTAAAGGGAGATAACACTGGGTGAGTAATTTTATGTCCGCTTTTTTGAAGGGAGCTTCAAAAGGGGATTCAAGTGTTCCACTATCATTTGCAAGAAGGAGACAAGCAATTAAGCATGAGTCCGGATAAGGAAAAATATGTCGTTTTATCATTGAATAATGAAGGAAAACATTTGTTGGGAATTAAACCCGGGTCTTCTGCGTGATGAGCAAATGCCTTAACCACAAGTCTTGCCCACGGCCCCCTCTAGAAAGAGACAAAACAATGAAGAAATTTGATGCATTATGTCATTGATAGAGAAAACAACAGTAGCTTACAGGAGTCGTTGATGGTCCAGACAGAATCTTGTAGGAAAATGCTGTGATCTTCACGTCCAGTGTTCCCTTCTGGAGAAAACCAAATGTGCTGAAGCGTGAACTGTCTCCGGGAATCATTCTGAAAATGAGCCAATAAAACTGTAGCATCAAATTCACGTCACTACACATGTATAAAACATCCTGGAAACTTTTAGACATCTGCTGGTCTTTATATGTAATAAGATAAGGGCTACAATGAGTGAGTGATTTAGTTTTACTCCGCTGTTGCAATATTCCAGTAACATCACGGTGGACGACACCAGAAATGGGCTTCACACATTGTACCCATGTGGGGAATCAAACCTGGGACTTTGGCGAGACAAGAAAACGCTTTAACCACTAGGCTACCCCACTGCTCCTATAAGGGTCCAGTAAAGTATTGAAATGATGTAGTGTATGGTGAGTGAGTGAGTTTAGTTTTACGCCGCACTCAGCAATATCCCAGCTATATGGCGTCGGTCTGAAATAATCGAGTCTGGACGAGACAATCCAGTGATCAACAGCATGAGCATCGATCTGCGCAATTGGGAACCGATGACATTTGTCAACCAAGTCAGCAAAACTGACCACCCGATCCCGTTAGTCGCCTCTTACAACAAGCATAGTCGCCATTTATGGCAAGCACATGGGTTGATGAAGACCTATTCTACCCTGGATCTTCACGAGTCTGTAGTGTATGGTCAGATAATTACTCCAGAGTCTGGAGGGAAACAGTGGTCATGTGGACAGTGGTCATGGCAGATGAGTGAAATAACAGACACAGATAACTATCCACCGGCTGGCTGTCCGGATGTGGTATTTTGGTTTTTCTGCAACCGTGCACTACATGTGTACTGGACACACATTTGTGTGTTGTGTAAATCTCTGCTAAAAGAAGCAACCAAAACCTTCGAATTGTTAGCATGACAGTGAAATGACTGGGCTACATCCACACTGTTGCATTACATGTTAATTTATCTCGGTGCCTGAAGGTTATGGAAATAAATGGAAAGGGTTGAATAGGTCATGACATTATGAATGGTTACTGGAAAACATGCTGTCTCTTGATTTCAGTCTACAGACTCTTTATGATCCTGTTTGAGAGGCATTCTAGAAATTGTAAGCAATAGGAATGACAAGTCTTTACGGATGATCAACTTCTTTATTGTCAAACGTTTCGGTATAGATACTTATACCATTTTCAAGCTCAAAGTTTAGAAGAAAAATGAGCTGACATAATTATGCTTGTAATGTTAGATTTATTGTTGATATATTCCTCAAAAATTGACTTGCACCTGGTGCAAGTAAGACAAATACCTAGGTTGCACTTTGTAATATTGGGTTGCACCAATGCAAGTAACAAAGCACTAAATCGAGCCCTGCATGGATATTATGAAAGGTTACTGGTAAACATGGTGTCTCTTGATTTCAATCTATGGACGCTTAATGATCCTGATGCCATGTGGAACATTTATCCCATTTGATAATCAGTGAGTGAGTGAATTTAGTTTACACCACACTCAGCAATATTCGAGATATATGACTGTGGTCTGTAAATAATCGAGTCTGGACCAGACAAGTCAGTGTCAACAGCATAAGCATCGATCTATGCAATTGGGATACGATGACATGTGTCAACCAAGTCATCAAGTCTGACCACCTGATCCCATTAGTTGCCTTTTACGCCAAAACATTGGTTGCTGAACATCAATGCTAACCCGGATCTTCATGGTTTCCGTAATCAAACATTTATCAGGTGATTTGGTGACAGAAGAGGGTTGTAGGGAACATTGTTAGGACTGGTGATGCTACAAGGGGGAGTTGGCTTTTGAATCATAACTGAACAAACATACATTTGAAGTGGCTTAAGTGCAAGTTCCAGAACAGTTTCAAGTAGCTAAATTGTTCGACATCGGACAAATCTGTACAATGAGGAAAGCTAAATGGAGATACAACTTCTTATTATTAATGTAAGCAGTGTTTAGAGTAGATGCCGTTATCAAGCAAGCTTTTAACATCTATACTGAAATGAAGCTTACATTAATAACAAAGAATTGATATATCCCTGGATCCCTATCCTTTTGTTCATAACACCAACTTCTAAATGCCCCTCAAAGAAGTTATCAAATATGTTAATAAACTCCCAACATTGCTGGGCTTACTCAGTGACAATTCGTAAAGAGATGCAAGATAGACTTGATGACCCAGCAACTGTCTGACATCATGGAGCATTGTTTCGCCTTTGTTTTTTGTGAGAAAAACTTTCACAAATTACATCATACGGTATTGTGACATGTTTGCAAGATTGAAGTGCTGAATTCTATATACAGTGCCATAAAAGGAAGTGTTCCAGTGTAAATTTGATTGCACTGGTCAATACCATTACATAAAATGGCAAAATTGCAAGGCACATAAGAATGATAAAGGAAGATAATTTAACCTGCCATTTTTCACAGTGCCTTTAACACGTATGACAATGGCACAGGTTCTAAACCTGCCACCAGCCTCCTGGTTTGACAACCCATATGTTTAAAGCTTCTGTTCAGAAATCGATGACAGAAAATTGCCTAGCAAAAGACACAAGAACATACTCAAATATAAACTCGACTTGAGAACTGAAAAATGTTTCTATGGTGACGTCATTTTGTGGACAATTTTGCAACAAGTGAGCGACACTTGTCTAACAGCATCGGGCCATGGCCAACTATCTGTAAATATCTAAAACATAAACAAATTCAAATTCAATATGATATGTAATCCTGAAGTGGTCCACGTGTAAAAATATATGCAATAATTTGATGACAACATATCGCTCCAAGCCTAAGTCAACCTGTTTACAATCGTTTCGGTTGAATTTCCACCGCGAAAACGCAATTGATCGTACAGACATGCTTTAGAAAATGTAAACAATTACCACAAGGTCATATTTCAGTATTTTTCCGTAACACAAACTCAAAGAGATGACCAAAACGAGCAGCTTTTTCATTTCGAGTCTGACTATCTTCGTCTTATGCTCCATGTTGGAACATATGACGTTTCCGGTCTGGACGATTCGTTACAAATGATTCAACTGGCTGACAATGTCGCCATTGACCAATCAGAAAGTCGCTTACAACGGTGTTAAATATTCGCTTCAAAATTGTGAATCTTACCTGAAATATATGCATATGGTATCTTTTTGTATGTTTTCGTAATAGTTACTAAGTATACGCTAATAACAACCGCCTCATAACATTGAATATCAGTCAACGTGCGTTTGTAATTATGCATACTCATATCGTATTTACGAATACGGATTTATCTATTATTTGAATTTTTGTAAATAATTTTTATAAATATCATGCATGTTTGTTGTAAAATGTCGTTTGCCAGTTTTGGACTTTTTATCATATGAGCAAACCAGTGTATGAATTAATTTTGAAAAGTCACTGGTCAGAAGGGCTAGTTAAATAAAAATGTCGCTAGCCCACAAAATTTTACATCAATGTCAAAATGCACATCGGACAGAATCGGTGTGATGTTAAACGTTACATATTTGTATTGTACAGGGCCTCCTTTCACAAACACTAAGGTGGTCGTAAGTCACTAAGGTAACCTTAGTGCGATGTTAAAGAATGGGAGTTAAGGTTAACCTTAGTAATTGCTTCGTGAAAGGAGGCCCTGGTTCCTAACATCTTTTGCGCAACGCTATTAACATTTTATGTATAAAAATCTTCATGCGACAAGAGATAATAAATACCATGAAACTTTTGCGGACCGACTTTTAACACCTTATTAATTCACATCATCATGTTAATCTATGTGCATTAAATAAAGAACAAATTTAGCTGGCCAGTCGGGATAGCTTTAACAAGATATACTCCTGGAATCCAATAAAGGAACACATGAAAATCCAAGTGTTCCTTTATTTTATTTTATTTTTATTTATTTATTTATTTATTTATTTTTTATTTTTATTTTTTTTATTGTTCCCAATGTGATGAGTACAAAAACATGATGAGTACAAGCATATAGAGGAATATGTGCACATACAAGCTAGTGGGCTCAAAAGCGATATAAGTGTTCCTTTATTCATTCCCAGAATTTCACCCACAGTGCAATACATACCTTGTGAAGAAACCTGGAAAAGAATAAAGGGACACTTGTACTTTCATGTGTTCCCTTATTCGATTCCATGAGTATATATTACTGGCCCGATTCACAACCAGCTAGCATTTGGCTAGAGGGGCCAGTAGCTATTTCGAATGTTGGAGCAAACCCTACCCATTTTATCAGACTGTAAGGAATCAAGACAGCCCCCGTGGCTGTTTCCCTCCTAACTGTCAAAACAAAAAAATTGAATTAAGAACTGACGTCTATGAACAAAATCGCATTTTAAAAGTGTGAATTTATCACAATTAAAAAACATATGACTTCTCTCCACTTTTTTAGAAATGTATATATACAGTAGTATCTGTCTAAATTACAGACTGGCCTGGGACCGACTCATTTGTCCGGATTGTAAAGCAGTTCGCATAAGACAACTTTTGTCCGTTACTGTAAACACTGCCACGATGAGTTTCCTCCCTTTGTTAAAGACACCCAACAACTTGAATCGTTTTTTTGTTTAATTTATACTCAATATATTATTTATAAATATACTCTCCCAAAAAAGAAACGCTTCGTGAAAATAGCAATTTCACGTAGCAATGAATTAAAACGTGATTCATTTTACAAAAGGTTTTGCTCTGTTTATGAGTCCTATGGTGTTTATGTTTTGAAACATCACAACAAAACGCACCATCCGTAAAATACCCCTATTTAACAGCATGATTTTCAATTTCGGCGTGTAGTGTCACAGAATACACAATTCACATGCAATGCACGTGAAAGTTGGGGATCAGATAGTCTCAATGATTGGTATAAAAGGTTAATCGCTGTCTGTCGATTAATCACTGTATTTGGAATATTGTTGACGAACGCAAAATGCCACGTCTAAGTGAAGCCAACCGTCATATCGCCATTGGTTTGCTTGAAGCTGACCAGTCTCAACGTGCAGTTGCCCGACGCATGAATGTTCACCAAAGCACCATTTCACGGCTCTGGGGGAGGTATCGCCGGCAGAATGCGGTAGCAGATGCCCCTCGTAGTGGGCGACCTCGAGCGACCACTGCGGCGCAGGATCGCTACATCCGGGTACATCACCTGCGTCATCGAACAGCTACGGCGACCAGTACCGCTCGACAAATATCCGGATTGAGGAGGCTTTCTGCACAGACCGTCAGGAACAGGTTGAGAGAGGCTGGTTTACGTGCCAGAAGACCTTATTTTGGCCCTGTGCTTCGATATATAATATATACTCTCATTGGAAAAAGTCTGTTAACATGAAATTCTTCTGCCTCTGTAAATTTCCACGTAATACAATGTTGTCAGTCATTAGCAATTCGGAGCAGAAGTAACGGAAATGTTTATTCAACGGACTGTTATTTTAGTCACCTGCGACCGGATTAAAAGCATTGTTCTCATAGCAAGTTGATTGTTGGGACTGTTATTTTAGTCAGCTACAACCGGATTACAAAGAATTGTTCTCATAGCAAGTTGATTGTCGGGACTGTTATTTTAGTCAGCTACGTCCGGATTACAAAGAATTGTTCTCATAGCAAGTTGATTGTCGGGACTGTTATTTTAGTCTGTAATCCGTAATTGAGAGAGTCCGGATAAAGCACTCTTTAATGATAAATTAAAAACAATTTTGCCGGGACTCAGAGAGTAGTCCGGATTATGGAGAGAAGCGGATTACACAGAATCCGGATTTGACAGATTCCACTGTACCCCGGTAAACATAGCCTTGCTCCAAGGCTGAACTGAAGGCTAAGCCCATGTATGTACAGTAATTTTATCCGTTCAAGAGGCAAGTCTAGTTAAGCGGACAGTACACATCTAAGGACGCTAGTCTGTTGGAGAGATATTTTTATTTTTAGAAATTATCATTTAAACTATTAATTATTACCTTAGAGACTTGAGTAAGTAGGTTAAACCGTGTCGGTTGACATGACTGCATTGTCGTAAATCTCATCGGTTCCAAATTGCGTAGATCGATGCTCATGCTGTTGATCAATGGATTGTCTGGCAGACACGATTATTTACAGACCGCCGCCATATAGCTGGACTATTGCTGAGCGCGGCGTGAAACTAAACTCACTCACTCAGTCACCTGCGGTTCTATCCCACGTTGCAGACTGTTACACCATAAGTGGTAAACAAATCCTGCTAGGTTTACCTCTTCATGTTATGGAATCTTCCTGTTTTACGCTGCTTTTTGTAAATATTCCAGCAATATCACGGCGGGGGAATCGAACTCGGGTCTTCGGCGTGACGGTGACACTTTATCCATCAGGCTCCTCCCACTGTCCCTTCCTATACTATAACAAAATCACATATGTGTCACATACCAATCACATATCACTATATGGAACAAGGGCAGTGGGGGTAGCCTAGTGGTTAAAGCATTCACTCGTCACACCGAAGACCCCGGTTCGATTCCCAACATAGGTGCAATGTACGGAGCTTGATGCTTCCTAAACGTGGCATCAATCGGCGAAGCGGGCGTTGTAGCTCACAACTACCTCTACGGCGACATGAGATCGCCGGAATATTGCTGAGTGCGTCGTGAAACTCAACTCACTCACTTACTCATTCACTCATCTATAGTCCGTTTGTCTCAAAATTGGACCGATGAATTGCAATCTAACTCGACAACTCATAAACATAAAATACTCAATGAAACACTGATCGTTATTAAAACGTCAGACCAACTCTGTGAGTTTTTTGCAGAATTTATATCCTAAAAATAAAAAAGTTGTTTAACAAACTATCATTAAAGTTGTTTAACAAACTATCATTAAAATATTGACTTTTACGAGGGAGGAGTGCAGAGAAAGGGACAGCCAGGTGTGCGAGAAAGGATGGAGACGGCACAGCACAGGTTAATGAATCAATAACTTTGTGGGCACTTGTGCACGTGCTTCTCGAACACCTGGCTGTCCCTTTCTCTGCACTCCTCCCTCGTAACAAATAGTGAACTGTGTCAAAATTTTAATGATAGTTTGTTAAACAACTTTTTTAATTTTAGGAGATAAATTCTGCAAACAAATCACAGAGTTGGTCTGGTGTTTTGATTATGATTAGCTTTTCATTGAGTATTATATGTTTATTAGTTCTCGAGTTACATTGCAATTCATCGGTCCGCTTTTGAGCCAAACGGACTATAGCTGGCACTAGCAGTCGGTGCCGGTGTGTTGATGATATGCGAACAAATCTAAACACGTAACATGACACGTTTTATGGATAACAACATCAGGTGATATGAAGGAGCAAGAATTAGCTCTTAAATGTCGTGTAAAGAATAAAAAAGAAGTTGTTATCCAAAAAATGTGTCATGTATTCATGTCCGTCCAACTTCTAAATGCCTTTCAAAAACTTTAAACACGTGCACGTAATGTTCATTTCAACAAAACTTAAAAATATCAACACGGTATTCATGCTCACTGACTTGATCGATGCATATCATCGTATCCCAACTGCGAAGATGGATGTCACATAATGTCATTCACTGGATTGTCTGGTCCAGACCCGAGTATTTACAGACCGCCCTCATGTAACTTGAATATTGCTGTGCGCGGCGTTAAACAACAAACAAACAAATCCCCCTCCTCCCCATCACATCAAGTTGTAGCCTTGCTCCAAGACTGAACTGAATTCTGAGTCCATGGATGTGTAGTAATTCTATCCTTTAAAGAGGCAAGTCTAGATACGCGGACAGCATAAGCACGCTAGTCTGTTATTTATATTTTGTAGAAATTATCTTTTAAACTATTAATTATTACCTTAAAGAGTTGTGCAAGTCTAACCAAGTGGTCACATCGTTATATTCCTCCTAGACCAAATATACAGATAGTATCAAGATCAGGTAATATGATACACCCCGTCAGTCTCACAGTCCCTGAACCACGTTATTTTCCCTGCTGCCTAGCCCTTCCTCTAAAGCCCCAAATG